ATAAGTAGCTACAGACTTAAACCCCCTTTTACTTAACGTTAAACACACACAGCAAAATACTGTAAAGATGAAACTTTTATTAGCAAAGATACATCTACAACTTTTTACCACGCCACTCAACTCAAATGTTCCCGTTTATATAGGAACCGTATAATTTGTAAACAACAACAGTATTATTTATTATACCTTACTAGGTGAAACATCTCGAACTGAGATGTTCCTTACATAGCTTTTCTATCAGTAAATGTTTTGAATCTCTTACTCATACTTAATCTTAATCTAAGCTCGTAGGTTGTCCAATTCAACTATCATCAACTAGAGTTTGAATCATCTTACTGCTATCTATCACACAATAACAATCAATATCAAATATGTAATGAACTATTACAAACGACATCCGCGTTAAGGCATTACTTATCTTACCTAGCACTACAAGTATGGATATTCTTCATACTAGCTACTACTGTACTTATTAAACTATCCTAATGACAAGGCAACACCGTAACAATTAGTTACTTCATAGAGCTATTAAATTTTAATTAAGTTCTGTATGAATATTAACTTACGAGTAAAAATACATTTCACATATGAAATTTGGGCGCAATATAATCATATATTTTATATTATTATAGAGAATGGACTTTAATTAAGTGGTATAATAACAGTCCAAGTAAAACATCATCGGCCAGAAAAGTAAATTACTTTTTTTCACAAATAAAGTATTCAGTAGAACTGCAGGGGCTTTTATACCATGAATATGGATGGGTATATCGCATAAGATAGCAATCTTCTACACTTCCATTGGGTGCTTACAAGTAGTTAGTATATGTAGGGACAGTCCCATTAATCCAAATTTGTCTATTGTTATAACCGGTCAAATTTTCATTTTTAACCCAATCCAAACGTTGCTTTTTAAACCAAGCTTATGAAAAACTTATTTCCAAATGATGTAAGCTTTCCTCCAAATTGAGTATGGCTAAATCACGACCGTGATATTGATAATAAAATCGAGCTTCACTAAAGGTAAACTGTAAATCAGCAACATGGTATCATGCAGGATTTGTAATGCTGATTTGAAGCCAAAATTTCTTAACTTTATAAATTTTGGATTAATACAATATGAATTTTAAAGACCTGGTCAGCTTTTGAATTTTAATCGAAATAAAACAAGAGATAAATTTCGGATGTGTCATACTAGTTGACTACTGGATGGGTTTGATTTTATGTGTAATGAAATGAAATGTGTAGAGATCAAGCTACGAAACTTTAACAAACTTTGATTCTACTTTCGTTGCACTCCGGTCGACTTAACGCTAATACTTTGACACCAAATAAAATTTGGGGAAATAACCGAACAACAATTTATATCAAAACAAAAATGGAGAGAAGTATAAACCGAACAACCTTACAAATACTTAGCTTTAAGTATTATTAAAATAAATGACAGACTTAAAAACTGTCAACGACCAAACAACCTTTCAAAAAGAAGAACGTTTTAACTTACGACAATTCGACCCCGAAGGCCTTTAAAATTCAACAAGTTCTTCAAATAACATCTTCTTCTACTCTCTCCCTAAATTTTCTAATTGCACTATCATTTATAGGCTTCGTAGAGCCGTCAGAGGTATTTAAAACTAAACATTTGCTAACCAATCGCTCTTAAGATCCGTTTTACAAAACTACTTTGCACCATTTAAGAAAACAAAAATCATTCAAAGTTCAGACACAATTTACCCTACGATTCCCTTACAAAACACTATAAAAGTAATAAGCTAACTATAAAAATACATCAAACTTCATTTCTAACATAATTTCTATCATTAATACACTATAAAAATCTAAAAATCAACCTTTAAACATCAAGATTTAGTCATAAAAACAACATTCTAACTACCTAACAATCAACACAACCTCTGCCAATTTCCATCTTATTTTCTATTTTCCTCACTAAATCTCCTAATGTGACTTCAAGTCACGTCATAAAATTCCAAAGTTTCAAATTTATAACAAAAAGTCCAAATCTCAAAAATCAACTCTTACGATATTTTTCATGAACAAAAATCCAAAAATAAAACAGAAAGGAAAATTATATCGGACACAAACCCGACCGGTCCCAGAATCCGAAAACTATATCGGACACAAATCCGGAAAAATTCGCTTTTTATGAAGATCACAGTAATCGCTTATCAAAAAAATTTATATGACTACTACGACTACTTTTCTGACATTAGTACCGCTTAGTATTCGCGAGTATTGACAGTTGATGTTTTAGCGTCAGATTGTACTGTAACTGTACGAGTATAGACTACATTACAGTACTTTATCGTCATGTTATAAATCCCCTTTCTCTAAGGATAGGGTTTTGCTACTAAGTCAAATTTCTTTACAATTTGAATAGACGATCAAACGCCCTTTCTTTAGATTAGGCATTTGCTCTATAGGGCTACTTCTATAGTAATCTATATAATACCTTGTAAAATAATGAAGAAGAAAAGATGGCGACATGATGATTTGGCAGGGTAAAACTTAAAGACACTATCACTTTGTAGGTATTTTGTATAGTAAAATAATACTAATTACATACTAAAAACTACAAAGGACTCTACTTTTAGTCCTTTTACTACATATGCATGCCTTGGTCTAAACTGAGCGATGTGTTAATATCTTTCGTACTTACTCACTGAAGGCAAACTAAGTATAGATACGCCCCAAGGAAGAACAAAAGTACTTCATGAAATGACAACATGAAAAGATCCACATTTAAACGTAACTTAAAGAATAAAATTGAGATAACTTATAGTAATAATTTTATAGAGAATTTCATCATCTAATGAATAGCAAATTTTCAATACTAGAAATAAACACCAATCTGAGCTGTGGTTGGAGATACTATCGTATTTCTAAGATTAAATTGTGTGTATGCAAGGCATCGTACTTACAAAAGTCACAACATTTGTAAATTTCTTTTTAAACATGTCGATAGAATATGGAAATTTTATAGTCGCTTAAAATACATTATAATTCGAAAATATCTAATAATAACTAGCTGAAGCAGCTACTTACGTATTATTATGTGATGAAATTATAAAATTTTTGCGTATTACTTATAAAAAATAAAATTTTAATGACCGTTATGTTAATATATTGAACATTATTTAGGCATCGTGCATTACCCATACACTTTTAATCTATAGTTACATAGTTATTCAGAATTGCGAGAGTGCTCAGTTTAATTTATTAATACCGACATTTTTTTCCATTTCATTAAATGCTTAGTTCACCGTAAGCTAAAAATCCATTATCTATCTTTCTAAGTACAATCATTGAGATCTAATGTAGTTCCTAAGTGAAATTGTGACGAATAATTATAACAAAACAACTAATTAATTATAAATTACGACTTTGAAATTCTGATAGGCTGCAACTAAACTTTATATATTATAATTAGCACCTCAATATCTTTGACAGTATATTTCACTAAACTATTGTAGTGCTTACTATAGTTTAGCTTATAGATGTGAATTGATACTCTTATCATACTATCTCTTAGCTAACTAAAGTAATTATACGCTATTAAATCCTTTCTAATAACAGTTATATAAAAAATTAAAATGATTTTATTTATAGGTCTAATTAACGTCAACTTATGCTTTATTAACAGTACATTATATTCATATATGTGAAACGCATAAATGAATTATTCAGCAATGTAGATGTGAGGCTGCTTCAGCAGTTGATGCATCAGAATTATTATACAGACTTGTACTTTGTTGGGATGTCTTGAATTGAGTATAAATAGCTTTAGAAAAGTACCAATAATAATACTAATTTATTAAAATGACAGGAAATTCCAATATCGTTGCTTTACTTTTTATATCAGCATAGTTACAAGGATATAGATCTTAATTAGATATTAAGAAATTTATGTACGAGTATACTCAAAACTATTCACAAAATCAACAGAAATATTTCTTTTGATATATTCAAAATGATTTTAAAAAGAATATTAATATAGAATTGCATAGTATAAGCTTTGTAATCGTTAGAGTTGTACTCAATTCATAACGTTGTTTCTAGAATTGATTAATTCATGAATTACTCGTTAATTTCAAAGTTACTACGTCTTCGTAATCAATCCTATAACTTGTCACGGTACGCCGTTACTAATTAAGTAACTGTAAATTAATGAATGCTTATGAATAGATAAGATAAGGTTATGTGCTATGTTTTAATGCGCTTGTAGCTGATAATAGGATGGTAGAAATGAGATAAAAATAGAAGTTGTTAGCAGTTAATTTACTGTAGGTTTATAAGGTATGTTAATCTCTAAAAATTGAGCTGTATATGGATGAAGGTTAAGCGTCTTAACACCTGACAGCTTGTAGCTATCTAAGTCTGAGAATATCGGCATGTATATTTAGTAATGGTATTATACTAATTAATGTAACTTGTAAAGCATGAATTCTCACTCGTTAATATTGGAATTCACTGTAGAAACCTATTTAAGCGCGTGTGTTTGTAGAATAAAGAAAGTAATTGCTCAGAACGGCAAGACTCATATCGTGAAGAATAGTGTAATAATTAGTCAGTTGTCTGTGGAGATCAGCCGAGAAATCGAGTTCTCAAATACTTCTCTCATAGAAACTGAAAGTACTGGGAGAAATAGCCCAAGTTTTAAGTAACTACACTAGAGTTCTTTACTTACCTTTGCCACAAGTGAGGGTTGTGACATAACTATACTAATTCATGGTATACATATACAATAATATTGTGCTAAAGAAATTATGGCTAACATACTGTCACAAACCAGCTTCGTGACAAAGATAACGTAAAACAAATCTCTAAATTACTATAGTCTCCGGGATCCAGTATCCCTACTCACAAGAATTTAGAAGCCTTTGATTATACGTTAAACTCAACTAGACAATTGAGAACTGCTTTATTCAACTATCTGACGGGCTTATATACCCTTCTACAGCAGCTAACATTCACAAGTCATCTTATAAAATACTTGGGTGAGAACGTCTACTAACTAGTTTTTCACAGTCGGACTACAATATGTCCATTCACAGAATCATTTCAGCACACATTACAGCAATAAATTTACTGTAACACATTTATAATTAGAGTAATTCCTATTGTAAGGAACTAGATGTAATATATTATCACTATATTATATTAACCAAATTTAGATAACTATTTCTTCACGGTAGTTCGTACCGTGACACATACATAGAATCAAGTATACAGTGTACAAAGAGTAGACTCGAAATTCAGAGCGCTAGTTTGATTAAAACTAAAATTTTGGCAAAAATTATTAAGTGAGCAGCGTATGGAACACTGATGACGAGAGATACCACTAAAGGAATCTATTACCTGCACTTGAAGCTCATTATCCCAAGTCGCATATATATATGTATCTTTAACTACATCGAAAGTAGAAAAAAATCCCAAAAGATAATTAGAACTGGTATCGCTATATCCTTTACATCAGATATATTTCAGTGTTGAATACAATAATCTGCTTTAAAAATGAAAATATTAAAGTCTAGGTAATCTCGTACGCTATTTTCGCAGCTATTTTGCACCAAACTATTCCAGTTTAGTAACGATTAATAAGCAGAAATAAATAGATAAACTAGTAACTGTTTAATTATCCGTTACTGAAGTAGTGAATATTTACCCGTACGTAGATTACATTTCATTAAAAAATATAAATGTAACTAAGATATCATTAATAACATTCATTTAACTCACTACCACCTACGATCACTAGATCAGCACCAAATTTAATTATACTATTTTGAAGATTCCCGACATGCTACCTAACCAATCTTATACTATAAATGATGCTAATCTATCAATTTTAAGTTTGTCTTAATTTTGACAAAGTAAAATTGAGATAAAACATGAAATTATTACTCACAATAGAAGCATGTTAAATATACAAGCAATTACCTCATATTACCTATGTTCTTATCGATGGTGGGAAACGATGATTGTTGCCTAGAATAAAAATAATGTAGACTCGACGATACCAAAAACGGATTATCGGAATTCAAGTTTGTAGATGTATTTAAAGCTAAAAATAGAAAAGATATCTAAATATAAGCTGCAAATATTCATCCATTACGATGTCGTAGTTCTACTGACTGATTTATAAGATGCATATACGAAAGGCGTGAATACTCTAATATCTATACATGCATTACATCTAACATGGATTTGAAAAATCTAATCTTACGTTTTTCACAGAGTCTAAATAATGTATAGTTGCACGGTAATGATATCCAACGAAAGCTGTAATAGATGATTGGCATATAAATTTGTATCACGCAATCATAAATAAAGCTAACACCATTTAACCAATTGGTATAAGAGCTAGCCATCGTACCATCAACCCAAACAAATTGTGTGGAAATATTGAAATCATAAAGATCACGTAAGCCGATGTACATCGTCTTTCCATGATAGTAACTATCAAATACTGTTGCTAATTCGGCATTATTAATAATCGCGAGATCTCCTCCTTTATCAATGCAGGACTTTCTCGAATTTGTCCAATTTTGAAAATCTTCATAGAAAGTAAAGCCACGATTCCTATATTCAATATCGTAATCACAGTCTAAAATTAAATAGAAAAGTAAAACTTTAAAAAGAGGAGTTACGTATCAGTGGTAAATCTTAGTCAATCTTTAAATCCGACCGCTGTTAATAAATAATAAGTTATAGAAGCCATCAAATTAATCGATTCGAGCTATTGTTATTAATCGGTTGAGATTATACGTATTTCTTGTATTCCTATTGCTTATCGCATATAAATTATTAAAATAGCTAAATAATGTAAGTTAAAAATCTTTAAACCGATAACTTAGAACCAAAGTAATTAGATTTATAAAGATTTAATGCATTGATATAGATTTTTATCAGCAATCTACATAGTCTTTTAATTAAGAAAATTTAAAAATTTTGTCTTACTTCTGTCAAAGTTCATCTTACTTCACATAAATGATATTACTAAATTAGCAAGGTTTGGTACTGTCATACATTTAAACTTTAAAATGATTTGAACATATCAGGCATCAGACGAAGATATCTGTTACGGTGTTACTTTACCGCTAAGGTAGTTTAATACGTATAGTAGTAGCTAATATGGAAACATATCCATATTGTAGAGATTGGAGGATGAGTAATGCCTTAATGTGGATATTATTTGTGATAGTTTATTGCACGTTTGACATTGATCGTTTCAAGTTCTAGCTATTGATAGTTAAATTAGACAATACGCACGCTTAGATTAAGATTAATCACGCGTAAGAGATTAAAAATATTTACTGATAGAAAAGCTATTTAAGGAACAACTCAGCTCGAGATGTCTCTCCTAGTAAGTTATAATATTAGTAGAGTTCTTGCTTACAAATTAGAAAGTTTCTATATAAACACAAACCTTTGGGTTTAGCTCTGTGGTGAAAATTTGTAGATGTGTCTGTGGTAATAAAAGTTCTATCTTTACGGTACCATGTAGAGTCACAAGTATAAGTAATATGTTAGGTTAAAAATTAGTTTAATATCAACAAATATGCCATAACCAGAACTACATGAGTAATTGTTAAAGACGAGATAATTTTGTTATCTTATTTAGTCAGATTCTAATTCTGATATATTGTGCTTTAATGTAGTATTGGCTTTTTGTAAGACAGTGATAAATGACTGATATTTATACATAGCCAAATTAATAGCTATATAAGGGATTTGAGAATAATCAACTTACGATTCGAATCACTATGACTGTAACTAACTAATGCTAGATTGTAGATGAGTTTAAAAATATTCCGTTTATGAACATGGTATAATCTGATTACCTTGTATTAGTCATTAGACGTCTATGTCTCTAAATGCTAGTACCTTCATTAGGTAGCAGTAGATAAAATTAGTCTCTAATGCTTTGGAGAGCTTTAAATTTAACAGTACTTTCTAGGTCGCCTGAACTATTGTAAAAGAGCATATAAATATGATATATTGTGCAATAAATAGATTTCTTAAGGTTTAAACTTAACGTAAACTGTAAGCCATCTAAGTCTTTACGTTGCTCGCTAGCAGAGGAAAAGTGTTCACGATTATGTAGACATTGTCCCTAACATGTGATTTAAGGATGTGACTTGTTGGCCGTAAATTATGTTATCTTATCGCAAAACTGTTTTGAAATAGAAAGTTTGCATTAAAATGGTTTAAATGATGAAATTATATGGACCTTTCTTGATTATCAAGCAAAATATCTTATATTTCGTTCTTAAGATCTAAAAAAATTACAAAAATAAGCCTGACTCATATTTTCCATGCCACCCTGTAACAGTGTTATATACTGTATTAGAGTAGAAATATCTATGTTAGGATAATTCTGTTAGACTATCCTTATTTAGTTAACTTCTAATTTGGATATACCGTTTTTTAATGTAACACTGACATTTTATGACAGTGACACATATATACATACTGAAATTAACAGTTATAATAGGGAAAGCAAATCATCTACTTACAGTTCGAATCATTGCGATTATGACTTACTTATGGTAGATTGTAAAATATCGTGGAAATGTTCCGTGATAGGACATATCGTAATCTGACTATTCTGTATTAGTCATCAGATATCTATGTTCGTAAATACTGTTATCTGCATTAAGGGAGCAGTAGCTAAAATTAATATCTAATTCAGTAAATGATTCCAAAGTTAATCGTACTAACTATGACTCATGAACTATTAAGGAAGGGTATATAAATGCAGTATATCGTGTAATAAAGTGGATTCTCAAACTTGGTATTTAACGTAAAATACGAGGCGTCTAAGTATTTGTGTAATCTGCCAGTAGAGCAAAAGTATTTGTGATAGTGCAGATATCGTTTCTTGATACGTAGTTCAAGGAATTAACTTATTGATCGTACATTACGTTACCTTGTTGCAAAGCTGTTTTGTGACACACTCCTAATATAAAAATTTGTTATAGGTTGAATTCCGTTTTCATGTGTTATATTGCATGCTGAATATTCCGCCATATAGAACGTACAATTTAATTTTATCAGATATATTGAAATTGGCCTGTATTGACTGTTATGTAAATTCTGCAATTTTTGGTGATTTACTATTATTTTAAGGACAGTTTTCTCTAAATTACATATTATATAAATCCTAAAATTTATAGTAAGAGCAATCCATATAATATCTTGTCATGTCAGGTAGAATACGAGTAATTTCGGATGATTTCGGTTTAATTTTTAGCTAATAAATATAGTCTGAATAATTTAATCATGAATCTTATTACCTTTTTGGCAAAGAAAGTGATGCTGGTTACTACATAACTCGAGAAACCACTTATGTGTACTATTTGCGTCCATTAAATAACAATCTTGAATAGTACCATCGGGTGGATATGCAAAATTAGTGTAAGTTGGTTTTATACCATTAATCCAAAATTGAGTAATATTAGCATGCTTAGACTGAATATTGACTAATCCAATCCATAAACTCTTGTCAAGACCAAGTTTACCATAGTAGATTCCGGTTAGTGAATCACTCTTATTAGCAGCATCTAATATAGCTAAGTTACCTCCATATAGTTGGCAATGTGCTTGAGCATCGTTAAAATCGTAGGTTACATTAGGAACATTATAACATAGAGTTTGGTCTCGATTAGTTTGCAGCCAAAATTTTTCAACTGTTTCATGGTGTCCAAAATTTCATTAAATAAAACAATTAATGTTTAGTAAATATATAATAATATTCCTGACTAAACAGTATCTTCAAGCATATTTGGCATGCGTTAACTTACAAACATTATTGCTACAAAATTATGTAACTCAATTCATGGTTGCGAATTAACAATAGTGACTGATTCCATCTAAAACACGCTGAAATTTTACAAATAATTCAAAAATTCTTACCGTGTTTACTAATAAATATTAAAATTGAACTTAAATTGCGCAGAATTAATAAATTTTTTACGATTTAAGGCAAATTTAAGCCGACCTGATGACGGTAAACCAAGTATTAGCCAGATTGGAATGAGAAAAATCTAATAAAATTGAAAAATGATCTAGATTTATACGTAATAGACGTGAGGTAATTTCAATTTTATCAGTAAATTTGCAACTGAAATGATAAGAATGCCATCTGACTATCATCAAATTATCTGAAACTTACAATGATAGTTAGTAAAGATGAGTTAGATAACTGCATATCCGTCTTATTTCAGCTAGTCCTCGAGATGATAAGCGTAGATTTATGAATTAAGCTACTAAATTATGAACCGTAATCAGCGGTTGGATTTAGGAAAAACTTTGAATTTGTTTATTAAACTCTTTTAATTACACAAATGCATACAGATATCTATTAATAATAGCAACTTTTCCGTTATCAATAATTTGAATTCTACATAAAAAATGAAAATTGGTCAAAAGAAAATTGATGCGGTATTTGTATAAAGTCGACAACAAAAGACTAATAATTAATGGTTGATGGAAATTAGTTTGTAAGTCATTGAATACCAATATAAATTAAAATTATAGACATAACCATGTGCACAGTATTTGTAATAAAGCTAAAGTACCTGGTTTTCTAATGAGATAAATATTTATTGTCTGATTATTTAATTAATCCAATAATTTATACGTAGAAAATTATAATTGGATATGAACTTTCTTAATATATAATGCTTCAACTTCTATCGTTCTAGTTAATTTATTATTAACGAAGAATTTTAACTTATTATATTAGAAAACGATAAAATAATTCTAGCATTTGATTGTAGCAATTCTATATCTGCTACATTAGTTGTAGAATTTATCAATATACAGCATCGCATTTAACATGAGATGATAATTGTCACGAAAGTAACCTTCGTGACGTGTACGTTATTTCTATGTTACGTTCTATGTATGTTTACAGTATATCTCAGAAATTTTTTACGGTCTCCTTAATTGTAACTTTAGCGTTTAACAGTCGATATCCTTAATTTAGGATTAGATCTAACAAAAATAGTACAGTCATTGCCAGCCAGTTAAATAGGATTGCATCTTTCATCCCCAAGGTTGCTCAGGTTTAAATTACAATTCCTAAGTTTAGAAGAAATATCTTAATAGGATAGCTTAATATGTATCTGTTAAACTGTTATTAAGCATTGATCATTTTAATACGGATACAGTAAATTTAATAGCATTAGACTGGATCTAATCTATGCGGATAGAATCTCTTACTAGATTGTGATATCTTGCATTTGATTATTCGCTAGTAAGCCATCTATGGATGTTGGTAAGATCGGCTTGAACAAAAGAATCGTTAAATAAATATTAATAACCATCTCCATTAAAATCGTTGGCTATAAACAAAGCACTAAATAAATTATTCTAACTTTAAGATATGGCTATTATCTACGAAATAACAAATGCTATACACAACACAGCTTCAAGCAAATATCTATCACGAGAGAAAATTTAAGCAACGAACTAAACTAAATTTTCTAGAACGTTTACTAGTATTTATTGAGTAAATAGAATCCTTTTGATCTTTTTAATAATAACCATTCCATGAATACTGTAGTTGAATTATTATCTTTTGCTTAGGTACAAACAGTAAAGTATTATTTATATTTGTTGTTTATTGATGCTTTCGAATACGATTTTCTTTTAAAGTTACGAATGACATATTTCAAGAATAATCGTATCATAAGTGCCTTTTTACATTGCAATAAAGTAGTTTGTAAGTAAAAATCATTTCTTTATATGTTGTATTGCATAACGATTAGGAGTATCTTGCTTGTGAATATTTAACACCGTATATTGATAGCTAAGGAAAGATTTCAGGGCTTGACTGCAAATTCAATAGATAAAATTTTTACCTTTTATTTTTAAACAGATCACAACCACTAAGTCACTTCCATTTTCAAACTTACCTGGATTAGCTGCATCCATCAATATCGATTTTACATAAAAGTATTGCTTTTGGGCAAATATTTCAGTTGTTGTAGTTAATTCTACTTCTTCTATTTCGTTTCCAGCATGAATGGAAAGAGTTGTAGTATAAGTTACTGTTGTGATAACTGGTTTAGTAGCTAAATAAATTGCACAGTATAATTTTAGTTTTTAAATAACACTATTGCCTTATAAATTAAAGGAGTAAAATTCAGATGCTGTAACTTTTAACTCAATGGCAAATTAAAACCGAAAGATAAAAATTGCTAGCGGCTGATTCAGGAAACATTACAAATTAATGTTATATGATAGAGCTATTATATTGCCTAATCCACACATAGTCCATGAAGTTCTATTACACTCTACATTAATCCAATTATAAATGCCGCTATTCTTTTGAATAAGAACATAATCATACTTAGTGTCTGGACTTTACGCACCCCAATCCGTAAAGTCGATCCAGCAGAGTTACCTTGTCACCACAAAATCTATATCTAACTTTATTATTATTACTACAGACAAGCTTGACAGTATGTACATTTTTTATAGTAGCACGAATATCGTGCATAAAGCAATACCGTTAAGTACGGTTGGCCAAAGCTAATCGCAGTCTGGTAATAGCATGAAGAACACTTCTTGCGCATTTCCAGATAAGCAACACTGCAATAAACTGCGTCTAAACATCTATCATAATAAATTTAATATCATACTACAGCACTGAATGTTTTATAAATAAATTAGTCACAGTGAATAATTCTCACTGTGATAATAATATGTTACTCTTAAAGCAAGACGGTACTCTAATTTAACAATAAAACGATGATAATAAATTCTTAAAACAAAATGGGCACTGACTGGCTCAACAAAGTCGCCGGAATAGGTAATATATCAGGTTGAAAACTAGTTTGATACCAATAAACATACAGCAACCTGAATGACATGAGTAATTATTATAAACGATTTGCACTTCAACAGTAATAAAAAATATCTTATTCTTGCGAACTTTACAAATTTCTATTAGTTGGACATTGTATTAAAAGTACAGTGTAACTTCTTCGATTCCTAAAAAGAATAGAAAATTTCATTTACAATGGTTACGGAATAATTGGTGCTTGTTACTTTCATCATGATCTGTAATCTAATGATGCTATTTAGGCAAATCATTATTGCGAATTTTGTTTACTTAGGAATTGGTTTAAGGTCTTTGGGCATTCTCAGCAAATACAAAATAGATATCAAATTTATTAATGTTGATCAACGTTATTGCCTTTATTCACTTTTTCGAACTCTTCACAACTAATGATAATTCTGTGCTCTCAGAAGTTTTGGAGTCTAACTAGACTACACGAAACCTCTCTCGTTCTCAAATTTTCTTTAATTTCTGGATCTACTGCTAATATTAAATACTGATACGATATGTATTAAACAGACAAATCTGACAACTGACTTCAGTAATATTTAGAATACCGTCAATAATAAGTATATATAGACATTTGAGTATAATACAAAATACAACCTTTAGACTCACATAGATGAGCTATATTTATATTTTGAAACCTGCTACTCTCGAAATGAGAAAATTCGTACATTAATTATTGGAACATTTCAAAGTAACAGTACAGATTTGAAAAAGTTTCGAATTGTTTCAAGGGTTCTACTTGTACGGTATCTTTCTCCACTAAGCATGTAGTACAATTATTAATATTTTGATAATTATATATAATTTAATTTGTATAGAACTTAGATATTTTTGCTATAGAGTTTGATTAATCCATTAATGGAGACTGTTAAACTTAATTTTATGCTTATTAAACATTTGATAAAATAAACTAATATTTAGCTCCGATAAAATAATACGAGTGGTACACTTGAGCATTGCAGCAAATGCAGCTTAGCAAGAAATGGACATTTTTAGCTTTTTAGTAACAAACTATTCGCAAGCTTTTTGCGATTTTTCTGAACAAGGCTGAACGAGTTAAATATTATAAGATTTTCAGATATAATTTTTTTGGAAGTCGAGTAAGCGTACTTAACAAAACCTCTTCTACTAACTGTAATAATAGTGTAAATCATAAAAGCAATATTATAATAGCAGCTTTTATTAATAATTCTCTATCGATTGAGATACTACGTAATAGAGCAAACAAGCTTTGACAGACAAGGAAAACTTCCTACAACAGCAGATCTTAGAAAAGAAGGACTAAGAACAACAATGACAGAAAAGCGTAGCTGCTTAAATAAGTTATCTAACTTGTTTACAATATAAAAATTGCGAAAACATAGCTCAACCCTTTCAGAACTTAGTATAAGAATAAAATTCTATAATTAGTATTATATTCTACAAAGCTGAAATCAACATACTTACATTATCACAGGCACTACTTATATATATCTATTATTGCCAATAGCACCAGATTTTGGTACTATTTTTAAGTTGTATCTAATTCATTTCTCATAAAATTTTGACAACAATAGCTTATCTAACAGCTTCAATGCAGTGTAATAGAGTATCGGATTGATATTTCTAAAGGAATTATTTTGATCTTCACTCTAGCGTAATGTATCACAGTACAGCGATATAATGTTGCTAATTAAAAATCATTAGAGGTCAATGATCATTAGTTAGAAATACAAATGTCGACAAACTGAGAAAAGCAATATAATATTCGCAGGACTCTTTCAGTCATTGATCTCTCATACTGCTTAAAGTACTAGCGATCTGCTTCTTGACAGATGACACATTCTATATATCAAGTAAATTTATATAGAACAAGAAATTAGAGTAAAGCTGGTTCGACAATGTAATTATGATCGGATACGTCGTACTGTACGGATGCTTCATGATATTATCACAGCAAGTCAGGTTTATAAGATTTTTCTCTTATCGTGCTTACATTAATTCATTACTTTATTTTTAATATATTTATCACATTCCATAAATCAAGCAAAATCACAGAGAATACCGCTCATTAAAGTAAAGCTGGTTTAATTACATAACTATGTGCGCTTGCTCCAAGATAATACTACAGCAAGCTAGATTAAAAGATTCTTCTCGTATCGAGCTTAATTCATTATTTTAATTTTTAAATACAGATTTATAAGATTCCTTGTACCAAGTAAAATTACGGAAAATATGATAAATTAGAATAAAGTAGGTATGCTTACTAAATTATGATCTGTATTTAGTAATGTATATATATGCTCGATAATATTACTATGGTAATTAAGATTAAAAGATTTTTTCGTATTTAACTTAATTTATATTTTTCATTTTCATGTATGTATCAATTTCATGTGGAAGGCGATTATTATTATGTAGCATATTTACTATATTAATAGCAGAAGATGCTCTCTACCTTATTAATTATGATATAACACACAGATGAGTAAATTTTTAATAATCACCGATAAAATGATAGAGCGACAATGATAAATTGCAGTATAAGATTCATTCGTTAAACAGACTTAGTTTCAATATGACTGATTGAAATTATTATATTATTTCCTATTATTGCGTGTTTACTATGATATTTAAAAATTTCATGTGCTTATCAAAATTATCACTGTCAGTTTCTAATTTAGAAGTATCTGAACATCTTTACTAAATTATAGAAAGAGAGGCAATTTTAATCTCTTATCGAATACAAAATATAGTAATATGCCAATACATAAAACCATTAGTAGCTTCAGTAGCAGAGGCTTCACTATACATTTTTCAATTAATTATTTCAGTCTTAATAAGTTGTAGTATACAAAATACAAATATTATTCATCGGTTTATTAAGTTTTGTAGTGTTATAGGAAAACTGATCACAAATATTGTATCTTGCACAAAAGAATGCACACTGTTGACGCGTGATACCTGGCATTTTAGTAGTCGCTAGTAAGTCATTTGTGGATGGAGGTAAGATCGGCTTGAAATCAATCTGAACTAAAGAATCGTTACATCAATCTTAGCAGCCATTTTCATTAAAACCACTGGCTATCAATAGACTATTGAATAAATTATTCCATTTTTAAGATATGGTTATTATCTACAAAATAACGAATCCTATTGGTACCGTTTAATAAGTAAATATCTATCGTGAAAGTAAATTTAAGCAGGGTATAACACTAAGTCATCTAGAACGGATAACGCTTGCTAACTTTTATTGCGTGAATAGAAGTAGATTAATCTTTATAATAATAAATATTTCAGGAATACTGTAGTAGAATTTTTCCTTTTGCTTAGGCATATATAGTAAAGTGTCATTCGTATTTGTTGTTCATTGCTGTCTTTGACTATACTACTTCTTATAAAATTATGAAAGACGTATTTAGAGAACTATTCTGCCTTATACGTCACTTGACGTTGCAATAGCATAGTTTAGAAAGTAAATTCATTTCTCCATAAAGCGCATTATGTAAGGATTATATTGCTTGTCTACATTGAATATTGCATGGGGATAGCTAAGTCAAAATTCTAGAGATTTCACAAAAATACTGCTCAAATCTTGATATTTCTTAAATATCTTGACTATAGATTCAATAAATAACATCTTAACTTGCTATTTTAAGCAGTTTCATAACTCACAGGCTACTTCCTTTATGAAGCTTACCTGAATTAGCTGCATCCACCAATATCGATTTTATATAAAAATATTGTGTTTGGACAAATATATCAGTTGTTTCGGTTGATTCTGTACCTTCTTCTGCATTGGTTCCTGTATTAGTGGAAAGAGTCGTTCTGTAAGCGGTCGTTGATGCAACTGGTCTTGTACCTAAAAACATTGAATATTATAATTTAATTTGTCAATAATAATACTGCCATGAAATCAAAGGAGCAGAATTAAGGTACCGAAACTTTTAACTCAATGACAAATTAAAAAATGAAAGATGGAAGTGGCTAACAGCTGATTTGGGATATGGTTATAAATTAATTTTATATAATGGAGCTACAGTATTTACCAAATTCGCACAGGGTCCACGAAGTTCTATTACAGTCTACATTAATCCAGTTATACTTGCCATTATTCTTCTGAATAAGAACACAATCACGTTTAGTGTCTTGACTATATACACCCCAATCCGTATAACTACTAGCGACAGTTCCATTAACCCAAACGAAAGCATTGAAGTTATCTAGACTGTTAATATCTCGCAAACCAATCCAGACTGATTGAGTCCATGTCAGATAGCCAGACAAGAAATCGGTCAAATCGCTATTGTTAATGATAGCTAAATCTCCACCGTGTGATTGGCAATAGTTTCTACCTTCATCGCATGTCCTATTGACTTGATTGATGGTAAAATAGCGATTACTGTATTCCAAATCATAGCTGCAAGCTATTACAAGTAAACAGTAAAATTAAAGTTTAATAAAATTATTAACGTGGTGAAACTTTAATCAACATAGCGCGAAGCTAATATTAGCATCGAGATCGTTCTTTACTTGGAAACAACGTCGAGAAACAGATTCATAGTAATTTTATAAAGTATTAGGTAGGATTAAAAATTGATTAGACTGTAATAACTGTAGTAATTTCCGGCCTGACCAAAGTTTTAAGGGCAGAAGCTTTAGATACTCATATGATAGATTTGCGAATATAGGAAAGCTGTAGTATACCAGCAGTGTACTCGATAAAGGAATCATATATTTTCATCAAGGTTAGTATGATTGACCTAAATTATATCAGTGTAAATATTAGATTGCATGCATTACCTTTCTCACAGATGAAAAAACGAAGCTGACTGCACAAATCATCAATCCACAAATGATCTCCAAACGCAGAACTAATATAGCAATCATCTGAAGTTCCAGTAGAAGAAGGAGGTTCTCCCAAAAATTTTTGATAAGCTAAGAAAGAACCAGTAATCCACCTTCTTTCGACAGTTGGTCCGTCTCCATGATGATCTCTTAATCCAAACCACATATGCTGATTTAATCCTAGCTTTTCATAGTAAATTTCTCTAAAATGAAAATATTTTTCATAGACATCAAAGACAGCTAAGTCCCCATCAAATTTTTGACAATCACTTCGACTGTTTGAAAAATCATGCATATGATCTGATACACGGTAGCATAAGTCGATAGATGGCAGTGTTCGTGACCAAAATTTGTCCACTATAAGTGTAAAAGTGATCAATAAATTCACGTGAACTTAATATTTCTAGCTAGAATTCATCCTTTAAGAACGGAAATAGATTTATATCTTAACTCTAGAATATGCAGTAGAAATAAAAATAACATTAACCCTAAAATAGGTATTAAAGCTGCCAAATTTCAACAAGTTATCTATCTAAAATTACTATTTACTTGCATTAGGAAGGCCAGCCCATGCAGTCCACAAAGAACATCCAAATAACTTGAAATATCAGTTAATTTATTAGGTTATTAGAATGAAATTTCAAAATTGGCAATGATAAAGTTTAACGATATTATGGATATCAAGCAACGATTTCAGAGTTTAAATATTTTAACTTTTATGTCAACCATTCTTTAAGTGTTTTATATAACAGCAACAATTGTTAGTATAACGGCATAAATCGTACTCACAAAGTGTAAAATAAAAAGCAGGTTGAAAACTTTTGGCATGATTCCGAAATAATTACTTTATTGAGTCAAGAATCGATTTCGTGCAACAACGATGAAATATCATAAATTTAAACACGCGCAAATAATACCACTTTATAAGCCTAATATCAGTCGACAGACCAAAATTGGAATTTACTTCAACCATCATTAAAATTTTACAATGCCATAAATTTGTTATATGAATGAGATCATCTTTGCTTCTTTCTTTATCAGCTGTTATTAATAATTAAATGCAATAAAAGAAGACCAAAATGTTTACTTCTCAATATCAAATTATATTTTTTTAGTATATGCTAATTTAGGTAGAAATTTGACGATGGTAATCATTTTACTCATTACCTTTCAGTACTTTTCGGTTATTAAAAAATTTAAAGCATTAATGGCTTTTGTTAGCATAGCTATTATGAAAATACCCTTTATCCAATCAAAAAATATTAAATATGACTAAAGTCGCAATAACAGTGTAGGTATACTCATTGACTTGCTCAGTTTGTCAATAGAAACAGTAATTTTTATTAGAAACATGTTACGCTTTCCAAAATAATCCAAGTTATCTAAATTCAAAAATTATATGATTAGTGGAAACTAGTAAAAGAATTTTAAGTTAACTTATGCTTGTAAACACCATTTGATTCTTATTAAAGCCAGTTATAATTTTTTCATTTGTAAAACATAAAGATTACATATCGATACTTTAATCTTTCATGCTCAAATGCCTGTCTATCTAATATAAGTCTACTTCTTTTAATGAATTAATTTAATGAAATTTCTCTCAAGAATAAACATTTTCCGAAACTAGACTTTCTTTAAGAATCTCGTATTTTTGCTTATTCTATAGCAATGAGGGATTAAATCCTACCAACTACTGATCATAACTTGAGATACAGATTAGTAGCATTAAATAAAAAGAGTTCGTAATATTTTGTATTCGATTCAAGTATAAAAAAATCGTCGCCAAGAATTGCTAAATTCTGTTGGAAGTCATACCCACAAAAAAAATGTAAAAGTACTTCTAGATTTTTATTAATAAGGAGGATAAACTTCAAGATATCCTATTTGAGTTATACATAAACTTAAGACAATATTTGCCATCGCATTTTATATTGCAACAGAATATTAATTTCGCTTATTATGCTCCTTACTATTGCGTCCAGTATTTAAATAATAATCAACTCTACAAAACGAATTAATAACTGCAACATTACTCATACATTCTCAGTTATCAATTAAAGAATCTTAGATTAGCCATTAAATCCAGGCTAAACGTCTTTCTGATCCTGTCATCCCATATGGCAATGTTGTCATAAATAGTAACCATTTTTTTTTACCAAATCTGCGTTAGCGTTGAATTTTGCATCGTAGATAACTATTATCCATTTAATATGTATTTTGAAGTTGTAGCGACAGATATAGATTTATTTATTAAGAGACTAAGCAAAACAAGCTTCTTCATCCTCTTTAATAAACGTCGCCTCATAACAGGAGTACAAAATAAATCACAAATATTTAGTTAACATCAGTTGAGGAGATAAATTAATGTAGTGTTTATTTTGCAATTGATTATGAGTTCTAAAGCTAGATTTCATTCAATTAATTATGATGATTACTGGAATAATCTGACGTAAACATTTAACTTATAGCAGTTCAGTGGATACGTTCCTTAAATTTATAAATGATTTATCAAAGAACGGTTATTATAACACTATGAGATTTGCTAAGGCATAGCTGAACCTACACCAGTAACGTAAAGATTATTACTACTTTAATTTAGAACAAAATTTGTTATTTCTAAGGAATACTTTCACCTTAGTAGCTATTTCTGCAATAAAATCCAATCTGGATATTTTATTATTGCGCAAAGCATTAGAAAAACTAAACACCGATTTAGTTGCAAGTATTGAATACCTAATTAGCTATGTAAATACAATATTTGATCATACGTAAGTACATCTCCAAACATATACATTCTATTCTCAAAAATCAATAGATATTATTTCATATTGCAAAGTTTAAAAGAAGTATTCTTTAATATTCATGCACGTGATAACAAGCCCATGACTGCATGGTTCCATTCGTGCTGTTCTATTTCATAATCGTTCTACGAAAGGTTGAACTAATTTATTGGAAGAATGGCTATCCAGACGATTACTCAATTTCAGGCTATTGGACAATTATAATTATTAGTAATAAATTTAATACATACTTTGCGGTTATCGGTTTGATGTTCTTTAGCCACCAAATATTTATTTTTTACAGTTTAACTGCTCTAAGTTTTGTTTAATATTTTATGAATTTTCAGAAAAAACATTAATTCACCATTGCATAATTAATTAAAAATGACAAACAGTAGCCGTAGATTATTTGTTTATTAATCACCTTGGTTATATTGTTACTATAACAAAATGTGAAATACTGCTTATTTTATCGGATTATTAAAACATAACTTTGAGGATATGTACTGCATTAACTATTTATCAGCTCATAGATATTTTTTAATGTTAATAGATAATAATTATGAGCTCTAAGACGTGTTTTAAACAATCATTAATATACTATTTCATCTGCCATAAGTGCATATTTTATTCATTGAGTAAAGGGTTTGAAATTGCTCAGTTGTAATAATTTATTTTTATCAGCTGTATTGTCATAGACCTATTTCAATTAGTCTAATAGATATGATCAGGTTTCAATCGAAGATATTACTGCTAAATCATTTCCAGTGTTGACGACGATCGCAAAAAATATATAGTTTTTGCATCTTTAGCTAAGCCTGTGCAATCATAGCGTTTGTTAAATATGTAATCCATATATAATATTGATATTATATATAGAAACTTAATCCTTTGATTTGCTGTAGATCAATTATAAAGCGGATTAAAAATGATAAAATTTAGTATCGCGTCAATATATTGCATGTCAATGTAATTAAAGGAATATATACTTAGTAGCTAACTAATAAATCTCTTTTCAAATTTTCGAGTTAAACGTAATTATTAAATCAAACTAATAATAATAACTGAGGTTAAATCAGATTTAACATCGAAATTGCTTTTGAACAGAAATATTTTAAGCTTGCAAATTCGTAATTCCGTTTTGTAACGCAAAAAAGCTTTCTCTTCATCAAAAATGATTAATCTGTGAGTATATATCATCGTTAATTTTTAAATACTTATAGCGTATCCAGTCTCACATGGCTGAATTTATTCTGATATAGTTATAAATTCTTGACAAATCAAGAAGATGCTGTTAATATTGTACATACATTTTCTGAAATATCATTAACCATAAAACTCTTATAAATAAATTCATCGCAGGCTAAAATCATGCTGCAGTAGACGGCACATCGATTAAGAGAAATACCATTAAGAGAAGATATTGTTCGCAAACCAGCAGTAGAAGATTGAATTTGCTTGTAGATTGTATCTGCTGCAAGAGAATAATGCTCGTAAGCTAAAACTAAGACATATTTATATATTTTTACCATGATTTGATTAACTACAATAACTAGTAAAGAGATTTTACTAAAATCTAAGTTCTTAACTTCATTGTTAATGCTACTATTAGTAAATATAGAAAATAATAATGATAATTGCATATGTTGACATGCCAATATCAGTAACTGGCAACTCGTTGTTGCCATTCTACAATGTATATGTGATTTCGAATTTTACCAGTCTAAAAGCTTCAGGAACGTACACAACCCTATCTTAAATATTAAATAACAGCACATCCTTGCTAGAATAACTCACTCTACATATTAAACCTTCGATAAAAATCTTATTTTCTCACAGATATAAAGATCGAATATCTTTATTCATATTGACAAAATCTAATGCTGACATAGCATTTCAATGAAGAATATAGAACCCGCTCAAAATAAGCCATTGCTTCAAAAATTTATCATTCTAATGCAAATTATATTGCCATAGATACTCTCATATATGGCTTATGCTAATTACGTATAGAAAATTACTAAGTGTCATAATATGATTATACGGGTAAATACTAGTATTATCTATATCGTAATTTAGCTTGATTTTTGAACTGTGACAACATANAACTGATGTAACTCCACTAATTTGATCCGTAGCCTTGATAATTATGCCGTGATTACATATAAAGTATGTACATAGGTAGGAGTAAATACAC